TTTTAAAACTCTGAGGTCTAAGATTAAGACTAACATCAGAATTTCCTATAACAATTATATTCTGAAGATTGAGCTTGACATTAAGAATGATCCAAAAAAGTTTAGGTCATTTATCAAAAACAAACGGGGATCTGCCGGTATACCGAATCATCTATATATATAAAAATCAAAGTTCACGGGGTATCCGGATATGCGCTCTAAAACCACTTATTCGATTACGATTAAACTTTGGTAGGTTATTATGGCCATCCGAAGGAAGGTTTGTGGATAGGTTACGCATCTCGGAAAAATAAATTAATTTTGAATTAATTATTAATTTAATTGTAAACAAACTCATTCACATTACATAACAACATAACCCAACTTTTTTTGACAGCATGAAATAACGTTGGCATATTTCATTTATTTAGGCTTGCATTCAACCGACGTAACTTTATTATTTTTTGAATTCAAGAACGGCTGGACCGATCTTGAATTAATACCACGTATCTCTACATAAGGTGAATTCGATTGACCCAGATTAGATCGATTTGGGCTCAATTTAAGTAAACTTCTTCTGATCTAGATCATTTTTTTGTTGATGAGGGTGCACTGATCCAGCTTGAATCGAACACAGTGTGGTTCATTTAAATTGAACCAGATCGATCTAATCCGGTCAATCGAATCGGCTATAGAGGAGAGTGATATAGGCTATTTTTTATCCCGAAAAAAAAAGTTCGGTTGCGTAAAACTCTGATACACTGGAACGCCTATAAACAGCCCGGGGCGCTCTAGAGCAGCTCTGGAGTGCTTAAAATGCGTCACTGAACTCACTGGCAAGCGACTCTGATATCGGATTAAAAAAAAAAAAAATTAAATAGAAAATCAACAACAAAATTTGAAAAGAAGTGTATTATTTCAAAATGTATTTACACGCTGGCAACGCAGCGGGTCATTAGCTAGTATGAAATATAATAGGTTTGTTCCAGCAAAAAGTTGGAAACATGTTGGTGACATTAACCTAACAGTTAAATTTGTTGGTGACAGATGTTTTTAAGTTGGCAACAAATTTCTGCTGGAACGAAAATGTTTGACATTTTCCAATAAGGCAATTCAACGAGCTGTCAAAAAGAAGTTCAATATGGAGGCCAATGCCAAGCGTCTGTACTCTGTGAGGTGTGCTTGTTTATACACTACGTTTTATTGCGATTTTTGATTTGTGTAAAGTCTTTGAAGAAGTAAAGTGTTGATTTTTTGAAAAATGCCTATGTTATGTATTGTACGTAACTACGTAACCGTTCTAATCGCGACAAAGTCTCGTTTTATGCCGTTCCTGCAGATACAAAACATAGGTTTTAAGCAGAAAAAAAAAAACGAGAGCTTCATGGATTGAGAGAAAAAATCTGATGAAATCCGTTTAAAAACCCAAAAAGTCTCTCCACATAAACGTTGTATGGATCCAAGCCATTTTTACTATCCTCAACTTCTGTTGATACCTCGAATAGCAGCCAATAATCTTCAAGATTTGGATGAGAAAAAACTAAACAGAAAACAAATCCTGGAGAGTACCTAATTATTTAGTAAGTAAAGGTTTGTTGAAAAGAGGTCATGCATTTTGCCAACATCCGGGCTTTCCACTAATAACTTCATAAAATAAAAACTTTCCATCTTGAAATTCGAAAATTATCCTCCCAAAAACTAAAAAATTACCTCAAAATAGGTACCATAAAATACACAAATAGTTATTTTTGTCACAAGTAGCTAAAATGAAGTTTTTCAGGACGTATCATTGCTATTTCCGGACGAGGCGTTAGCCGAGTCCGGAATAGCAGACGAGTCCTGAATAACTTCGTTAGATACGTGTGACAAACACTATTTTTTGTCATAGGCTTTTTAGAATTCTTCAAAACGCTAAAATTTGCAAAATTTCCTTAATTTTTGAAATCATAAAGGTGCATCCAGAAAGAAAAAAAATCCTGAAAAGAAGCATTTCACGGACTTGAATGAGTCCGTAAAATAGCTGTTTTTGGGAGCGTATGACAAAAAAACAGTTTTTTGATGAAAAATGTCCCGGTTGTTTAAATTAAATTTATGGCGCCAATTTCATTGCTTGCCGCTTGGCATTGGCCGCCATTTTCATAGGATTGTCCTATTCTGTAATGAAAAAATCGATCAAAGGTGGAACCTTGATCAAAGGTGAAGGTCAAAGTTAGGTTAGGAATTGAAATGTTTGAAGAAAATCGACAAGCATTTTGAGCAGTTGCCAACACGTTATAAATGTTTCAAACATCTGCTGAAACCGCTGACATTTGCAAATTGTCACCAACTTTTCTTTGCTAGAACGCAAATTTGTCATTGCGCATGTCACAAGCTGCTGCCAACATTTCTGATAGCCTGCTGGAACAAACCTAATGCTAATGAGCTACATAACCTACAAGATATTTTGAATTATTCTGCCATGTTTTTCAAGCAGTCATTTTCGATTAGCACAATCAATAATAATTTAACAAATAATATTGATACACCCCCCTATAATAACGTTAATATATGTATAGACAATTTTTCAGAGGATGATGTTGCAAGGGCTCTCAAAAAAATTAAACCCAAATTTACCACAGGCCCAGATTTTATCCCTGCATTCCTTATACACGATTGTCGTTTTGTTCTGGTTAGGCCACTTATGTTACTATTCAACTTATGCCTGAAGTACCAAACAATCCCTAGTTTATGGAAAACTTCTAAAGTTGTTCCTGTCTACAAAAAAGACGATAGAGCAGAGATCACAAACTACAGGCCAGTCTCTCTCATTTGTAACTTCTGTAAAGTTTTAGAATTTCTTTTATATGATAAGGTATTTCCTGCTGTCAAGAACGTAATGTAATCTAGAGAAGATCAATGATTGGTGCATCAAAAATAACTTGCAGCTCAATATGGGAAAATGTAATGTGGTTTCCTTTATAACCAAGACCTTAGCTATTGTTTATGATTATGTCCTTAATGATACATCTGTTCTCCGTGCCGATACTTTTTGTGATTTAGGCGTAACGTTTGACTCAAGATTTTCTTTTGTTCCCCATGTCAAGAAAGTACTGTTTGATGCCTCAAAAAGCTACGGATTCATCGTACGTTGCACTAGGGACTTCACCAACCTCGAGGTACTTAAAATATGATATAACTCTTATGTTTGGTCAAAACTGGAATATGCGTCAGTAATTTGGTCTCCCGGTTATGATGTTCATATCAATAATTTAAAATACTTTGCTATTTCCACTGATATTTTAAACCTGATTCTATCATTTCGTTTTGAAGCTGCTCTCGCTGGCAGTTGTTTTTCGGATGGGAGAATGATGCTGTCACAGCAACTTTGGTCTGTCAAATGCTATACCGCGGTTGACCGCGGTTTATTAATGGGTAGTGGAGGTTTGGTAGCGTTCTGCCTCTTTCTGTCTCATGTCTAAATAAACATGTCAAAGTCAAATTGTACTAAACGCCCGACCCCCTGAATTCGGATGAGATTGTTGAGCTACGTCACTCATACGTACCAGTTGGTTACCCATTCGCATACCAAACAGCAGATGAAAATGTGGGGGCGAAATCGCCTTATGTAAAAACTACTACGTTCGAAAAGCCGACCCTCAGCTATGTAAAAACTACTCCGTTCGAAAACTATTAACGAGGTTAAAGAGCAACGAAGTACTGGGGTCGACTAGATCTAGGTAGTACAGAAGAAAACGCCTACTCCCTTCTCGAGGACGCCGATAAAATAATACATTCAGCTGGCAATAGATGCCGCCATATGGCTGAATATTGTAAAAATTATTTATAAAAAAAAAAACAAGTGACATTTGCAATGTTACAAATTATTACGAATTGTGTTTGTTGATCTTCGTGAAGGGTTTCGGATCTTTTATCCATGAGTGCTAATACTGCCACTCCACCTATGTGACTATTCTCATCTGAGTTTTTCTGAAATAGGGTGTGACCGGATTTCAAGGTTAAGCCAAGTACCTCTGTCCCATTTAATTGGTTAGTTATCCGAGAATCCGTGGGCTGTCTAACAGTGTGAAATTTTGAATGGTTCAGTCTACTCAACTGGGGTAATCTCATGTTGGTACTCGATACTTTCATGTGAGAGGGTTTTAGCATCTTGGAGCGCCACACTTGCCGAGCGGTTTGGCGAATTGTGGGGTTGGGATATTGGGAAGGAAATGACGGGTTTAGATAAGGACTGAGGATGTGACAATGGTTTCCCTATGTGGTTTTAGAAGATAAACGAAGGCTCGCGTAGGCAGGGTGCATCCCTCTCCCTAGATCTGTGACCTATTGGGATAATATCATATGTGTTTCGTATTTTGGGCAATTTTGGCTTTCCGTTTGATAGTTTGGATGTCAGAATTCCCATGCTTTTGGTATCTGCGATTGCATTTTTGATCACCATTTACCTTAGTAGTAAGATCTCTTTTGTTAGTTTGTTGTTCAATGTTTCTATTGATTACAGAGTATCGAATAGCGCTTTTCTGCAATTTGAAGATACGCTCAAATTAAGTCGCACAGCGCACACGTACCCCAGAATGGAAGCCTCAGAATGAAAAGGGCAAAGTAGACTGTTCTAGAAGTTAACAAGTTAATTTTCTCAGAAATTAATCTTATCGCAAAACAAGCGGAACTTAATTTTTTGGATAAAGAATCGATGGGCGTGCAAGGTCCATTTCAGGGAGTTGTCTATAAATAAGGCCGGAAGTCAAACTAGAATCACTAGCAAAGAGACAGATTTTACCGGTGATGTCGAGACTAGTAATGTCGTTCATAAACAGTAAAAATAATATTGGACCCAGGAAACCCTGTGGAACTCCACATTGTATTGGCTTGCATGCTTCTTGTAGTAATTTGAATCAATTTTCGTATGTGATCCAATCTTTCTGAAGTTTTTTTTCTGTTTGGAGCATATGCCTACTTCTTGTTGTAATCCCGTGGCCACAAAATCGAAAGTATAAAAAAATAAAGCATAATCCACTTTCCTAGTCTTAAGTATATTTCAAAATTTACTACATGATTTATTACATATTCTATTTTCCAATTTCGTTAGCCAATAAAGCCAAACTTTCGTAAGTCCCAGCCAACATTCCTATAATCCCAAAAATTACTATTAAAAAATCCTTTAATAATAGACACTTCGTTAGTTTCTTGAACGAATACGACGTAGTGATATCTATAATTGCTGGAAAAATAACAATAAGGGCACAGCTTAGGAAAGATCCTACAAAGGAGAGCATAATTTGAAGTCTTGGGATTGCTTCGGCCATAACAACTAAAACGAAAGTGTAGTTTAAAAGGTTGGAAATCATTTAAAGACTCTGGCTACAATCTAACCCTAATCATTTTTGATTGGTTGCATTACTTACATGTTGTGATGACTAAAGCCGTCCGTAGCCATAGTTCCACTAAAACAGGATATTCAAAAGGACCTAACCACAATAAAATCTTCGGACAAATTATATCGATGGCTACGTACAGTTGAAGAGAGAAACTAAAACTCACTCCGATGGATATTAGGACAAGGACCGTTTGACCTAGTCTGAAAATAAAAATGTTCAAAAGTAATGGGGTAGGTACCTATACTTATGTTTTTAGCCGATGTAAAGGAATTTTACTATTCTTCAAATAATGAATATTATCTATCAAAACTTTCCTTTGAAACACGTTTACAAGTTCTTTTTGAAATTATTGGACAAGTTGAGAAAAATTCTATTACTTTAGTGTAAATACCTATATCATAATATTAAAACTTACATTTCCTTAGTATCCAAATTCAACGTCACAGTTTCTTTGATAGCATCACCAAATTGTACATACGTCACCACACCAAAACACAAATACAAAATGGTCACTATATGCAATCCTATATTTAGTACACCATAGGTTTCATTGAATAGCTCAGGAGAACTCATTTCGTTGTATAAAATTAGGACCTGAAAGATGGTCTGTTCCATTAACCAATCCAAATTCTGTCCGAGTAATATCTATTTGTTGAAACACTCACCAATCCTATACCTTCGAAAGCATAAACACTCTGTCCGAAAAATATAGCAAATTTCGAAATTGAGGGTATCATCAGGCCAGCTGGATAGTGGCTCGTGGGTTTGGTGAAAGAGTAGTACAAAACGATTACGATGCTTGTTAGTAAAATAATATTGGCCAACATGGATATTTTGGCCAGAAGTTTTAATGTTCTTATCAGGCACGTTAGCCAGATTGGGATTACGACTATTGCTATTATCCAGTGGATGTCCAAAGGACATTTGTAGACTTTCAAAAGCTAAAAAAAAATTAATACCTATATAAAAACTTAGCTTATTTCGATTTTTGTTTGTCATCTCCAGTCAGGGACAGTATTCTGAAATCAGTTTTATAGTAGTTTCTTCTTCTGAGAAGCTGAGATCACAGAGAAGTCTAGAAAAAAAGGAAGCACCACCAAGCTCAAATTCGTTTTGATGCCTCTTGAAATCCAGTAATTCATTGCTGAAACCTTTGCTGCAGGTAAGCTGGGTCTCAATAATCGGGTCTACTATCAGAGTGAACATCACATTTGAATGGGTCTCATCAGTTAGGCCCAAAAGCTGGTAGGTAATTTATCATAAAGATGTTTCAGGTTTACGTAGACGAAGAAGTGATTCTACAAAGAAAAGAACAACGTTTGTTCAAATTACCAAAAGGCGTGAAGCCTGCGACAGTGTCTGGATTTCCCATAGTTTCACTAAATCCTAGAATAGACATCTACACGAATTTCAGGAATTTGAGCCTTGATGCGTTTTTATGTTTCTAGAACTTTTCTGTTACTTATTTATCTTAATTGTTCAGCTTACCTCTCGCACGTTCCATGATATAAAAACGAAATAACAAGCACAAAATCCCATCTGAGCCATAATAAGAAACGCATTTACTATGAGCTTGGCTACAAATCCCAAAGCTGGAAAATCGGGAGCAACCAATGCGAAACTCAATTTAGCTGTGTCGGCATAATCAGGCACTCTTTCAAACTTAAAGTGGGTGTTGAGCAAATAGGCGGAGTTTACCTACAAAAGAGTAGGTAGGTACCTAATTGATAACCAAAATGGATGTAGTTAATAGATTCATTGTGTCTTCGATTAGTCGATCACATTTAACTGCAACCGACCCATTACGGAAGAATCATATAAGTTCTTAATATTTAATCTACTCTAGAAAAATCAGGTATAGATAAATGAATATTTGCAGAATTACCAAAAGATGGCAGCAGTGCAAACACACCATTCCGATAAGTAAAATAGTTATTGGACCAAATATAAGACCTGAATTTTTTAGAGCATCTCCCATGGAAAACACTCCGGTGCCCACGTAGCCTTTAACCAAATGCATCAGGGCTTCGCCATATTTGAAGTTGTGGTCGCTTCTTGTAGGAGTTCTAAAAAACAATAGGAAACCAAAATGTGTGATTCTGCAAGACCATTGAAATTTTTAAGTCCTTTGGTAAATTCTCAAAAAGTTACTTTTGATGATCTTACCATTTGCTTAGCTTACCCCAAAAGATAAGTGGTTTCTTTGGAAGCAGAATTTGTCATCATAATTATTGTTTTTATTGGCTAATCATCCATCATTTTCGGCTTTTTGTTATTTATTTATTTTTTGATTTTAGTTCAACTTTTTTTGGGAAAATGACTTTGACATAATTTTACAATGAAAGCTTTCATTTTCAAACAAAAAAGGTACGTTCGGTTTTTTGCAGTATGCACGTTCTTAAGGATTTTCTAGCGAGTAACCGTTTGTAACCGTGTTATAAACAGTAACTGAAAATATAAGCAGTATGATTAAAAAGAGTATTTGCTTTTACTTCGAGTAAATGCTCCATTTTGTAGTTTCAACTTCAAAAAATTATAGCATTTACTCAACATAATTCTTAAAGTAAGTAAGTACTAGAAGCAATTACTTTATACTTTGCTCTATTTACATCAATATATTATCCGTTCACAATCCGATGTCCACAGGTAGGTACAGGTAAAATCACCTTTCAATGCTATTTGATAGTGAAAGGTGATAAATTTACCTGCACCTGTGGACATCGGATTGTGAACAGGATATATAGGAGTTTATAGTGTAGAAGTTACTAATGATTTCTAAGTATTTCCTTCATTTGGGAGTATTCGGTGTAGTTTTTGAGAAGCTACTTAAGAGTAACTTCATATCAATTCAATTGCTTCGATTGAAAAGGCGTTATAAATGGCTTTTTTAAATAATTATAATGGTAAGAAAAGGAAGGAAATATGTGATGGAGATATTTTTAAGGACTCTAAGGAAGAATTCACACCAAAGCAATAGCAACTAGCAATGCGCGATACGCAACACATTATCGCTTTCAAAAAGTACACAATGAATAATGTATCTATTCATACCCAACCGACGCCGATATCACCTGATGGAATATCTGCGGGTGATGCGCGATTTTTATCGCTGGCAACATGGTCTGTCGATCGCTAGAGATACATGTTGCTTGGTCGTGTTTGTTTTTCTTCTAAATGGAAGACAGGGAAAATGAAATTTTTGTGCAAATTATTGAAAAATATCCCTCTTTGTATGATTACACACTCCCAGATTATTCTAAACGCCAAGTTACCGAAAAAGCTTGGAATTTAGTAGCTAGGGAAGCAAACATTTCAGGTAAGTAATCAAAACAGGGAAAAATAGATTTGTTTTTTTTTTTGTTTATCCAACGGCACATTAATAAAAATAAAACTTGATTCTGTAGAAATATCTCAGTGATTTTAAAATTACAGATTTGTAATATTGATTGCTAGTTGCTGTCACAGTCTTGTCGTGTTGGTGTGAACTCAGGACCAATACGATTTTCATGTTGCGTATCGCGAGTTGCTAGTTGCTAGTTGCTTATTGCTTTGGTGTGAATTCTCCCTAAGGGTCGTTATTATAATGTCCAGTTGACCGAAGGTTGAAACCTCGGTCGAAACTCAACCATCGGTAAACCGGACATTATAATATCGGCCCTAAGTGATCCTGGATTTCAACAAGAAGTTAATGTAGATGTTGGGGTACATCAAAGAACCGTGACAGAAGTAATTAAAGAAGTTGCACAAAAAATTGTGTGGAATAAAAATGTTTAGATTTCTTTTCCTCAAAATGCCCGCAACGTTGAATTAGCTAAAGATGGATGGACGATACTTGAGAAATAGGAACGATAGATTGTTCCCACGTAAGAAACAAAAAGAACCTATTTGAGGTTAAACACGTCCCAGTATTTACTACTAGTTTATACTTCGAACCTGAATAAACACTTCCCATAAAAGAATTTACTTCATGCCATCTAAACCAATTCCAAAAACAATACAATGGTGAATCAAAGAATACACATGCCATAACTGCATAGTAAAATGTCATAAACTTCCAGTTAATTGTTATATATTAATAGGGTTTCACGATGTTCAAGAAATGTCTTTTCTTGACTTGATCTTGACTTGAATTCAAAAAAAATTCGAGTCAAGAAATCTGAAACTTTTTTCAAGATTCCCTATTTCAAGATCAAGATTTCTTGTAAAGAAACCAAGAAATTCACAAAAAATTCTTGAATTTCTTGAAATTAACAGTTTTATAAGCGGCTGTAATAGTATATTGAAATACAAGTTGCAGGCTGCCACAATAGCCTTCTGCAACGTGTGTTTTATACTGCATATGTTTTCTCGATTTTGTATTTAACGTCTTTGGTTGGATATTATTCTAGCAAAATATGTCAGTTGGTACCATTTTACTAAATGGCCATTTCCACCAAACAAAAGTTAAGTGTACTTAACGTTAAGGTTCAAAGTCAGGCCTATAGTTTATTACACTCAATGTCAATGCTGTCGCCCCTACAGTGTACCCTAACTTGATAGTAAAAAAAAATAGAAATCTTCATTTGGTTAAATTGTGTGATGGAACGTTTTTCCTTTTTTTGCGGAAATTCGAAGTATTTTTCTGTTTTACATAAACCAGGGGCGTCGCGTCGGGGGGGGGGGGGGGTAATGGGGGTAATTACCCCCCCCCCTAGGATCCAAAATTCAAGGGAAAAATCACGATGCCCAAAAGAAAATACATAATAATATTAAAGAAAATACATTTTTTTTTTGTTTTATTTTCCTCACAAAGGAAATTATTGTTCTGGAAAAGTGAATGACCTTGAAATTGACAAAAAATTTCGCCTGCGGTGCGTTAGCGGGGGGTCGCATCTTGCCATTACCCCCCCCCTAGACTGCAAGTCACGCGTCGCCACTGACATAAACAGGGTTGTAATTTGGACCAACGCAAATAATTTTGAACGTTCGTCCTTGGAATTTTTTTTTTTAACAGTGTAGCTACAGGCGTACTTCCAACTATTTTTGCAGTAGCGAGAAAACTACACATTCAAAAAATTTGAAAAAAATATATGTCGCGTAGAATTGCAATAGTAGGTAGTTCATAATAAAAATAACGGGAAACTTCATCTATTCGTTTTGAAATAAATGGTGAAAAACCAATTTTTTTAAAGTTTTTGCGATATAACTCAAAAATGGCGAGTCAAATTTGCTTGAAAAAATTATGGATTAAAGTATATCAATAGTCATAAAACATATATTTTTTTTTGGAATTTTTGAACGCAGAGTTCAGAAGGGGTTGACTTTAAACCTTAAGTGATCCTTATCCACGCTTATTTTACTTTATTGAGGAGCACTTAACTAAACCATCAAAATTCTCAGCTTAATGGCCACTTATCGTTAAGTACTGATGTGCGCATGCGCTAACAGCTCTTAGATTTTTCCATAAAATAAATTAGAAGCCACGGAGTTAACTTCTAAAGCCAATGAACCAAACCCTATTTTTTTCCGGCCACAGATACTCCGTCTGTTTTTTTATTTTCGATTACCTATGTTCTTATTTTTTGATGTTCAAAATGCACTATTTGAACGGTAAACAAACGATTCTTATATAATTTTTTGTTTCATCTGATTCGTGATTGATAAGTAAGGATGGGGTTATTCTGAATGGGTAATAAATAGTATATTACAATTAGACTATACAAGATGCTGTCAAACTTAAATTAAAATGTCCGCCAAGCAGGGATGTGCGCTGTGCGTCTACACCAGTGGCGGCTCGTCAGAGGAGGCAGGGGAGGCTAAGCCTCCTCCAAAAAATTGAAAATTCAATCTCAGCTTTTTATTCCTAATTCCTAATTAAAATAATAATTCACAAATTATACTTTCCAAATTTCGATATTTATGTAATTTAGGGTGCCCAGTCTATAATTCTATCGGTCAGCGGATAATTTGGAGCCAATCAAAAATCGAGAATATTCAAAATGTAATTCTTAGTCAATATTCCGAGTTCTCTCCGATGTACCAAAAAAAAGTTAGCCTCCCCATCTTTCTTGATTTTGAATTAAAAAAAATATATATCATCAGATAGAGGAGCAAAAAAAACGTTGAAAAGTGTATGGGACCTTGCTTGCTATGACGCATTTTAAGGCCGGGATGTTAAAAGCATTTCGTTGCCGACGTCATAGTATAATCCTTGGTCTGTGCTAATTGTTCGTCGGCTGTCATTGTCATTGGCTGTCTCTCTCCGTCCCTCTATTTTTTATTTCTCTCTCGTGTAACGAAATTTGCTAAAACGTGACGCGTCTTTCAGATCACTTTCCATTATCGTTCAAATATCAGACTGCCGCCTAAGAAGTTTCACTTCAAAAAATCGGGTTTTCATAAGAGTACCCCCACCCTAAAAACTATGCAAAATTTTATTGAAATTATGCTGAATTCCAGAGGAGAGAAAAAAAAACGTTTAATTTTAAGAAAATTACATAAATTTCTATAGAAATTATGCAAAATTTTATAAAAATTTTCCGAAAATTCAGGTAAATCAAATGGAACTCTGGGAAAATGGCGTAGAATTCCAAAAAAATTGTTGAGTTTCAATTAAATTACATAAAAACCCATAGAAATTATGTAAAATTCTATAAAAATTATGCAAAATTCGATAAAAATCATGCAAAATTCGATAAAAATTATGCGAAACTATGAAAAATTCCATTGAAATTATGCTGAATACCATGGAAATGATGCCTAGTTTTATACAAAGTATGCAAAATTTCATTGAAAATATGACAAATCCCATTAAAATTATGCGGAATTCTAGTGAAATTAAATGGAAAACGACAGAGAATTCCAAAAAAAAGCGTTTGAGCTTCAAAAAAATCAAAATCCCATAAAAATTATGTGGATTCAAGTTGTATGGAATTCCAGAAAAATTATGCAAAATTTCATAGAAACTATGCAAAAGTTCAAAGAATTTCTGAGGAATTCTATAGAAAATATGCAATATTTTATAAAAACTATGCAAACTTCTACTGAAATTATGCAGAATTTCATAAAAATTGTGTGCAATTAAATAAAATTCCAGTAAAATTTAATAAAAATTCAGAGATACGACGTAGAGCTCCAAACAAAAATATGTGGAATTCCGGTAAAATTATGAAATTCCGATGAAATTCCATTAATTTTCCTGGAGTTCCAAATAATTTCCTAAAATTTTAAATTATTCTCGTGAAATTCCAAAAAAAAAAATAATATTTAAAATTCCTGTGAACTTCCGAGGAATTCCTGTGAAATTTCTTGCAATTACAGGATATTTCCCTGAAATTACATTGATTTTTAGTAGAATTCCAGAGAATTTTTATGGAATTCTGGTGTATAATTTTTTTTTTAAATATTTACTAAAAAAAAGAATTTTTCCAGTACATTTCAGACACTTAACACTGTCGTTA